ATTTGATTACAAATTTCATGTTTTTCAAGCCAGCGACAAATATCACATTAATGGAACATGTACGTGTAATATATTAAATTGTTACAAACAGAAAAATATTTGAAATAATTTAGTAGTTTGGCATAAATGGTTCTTATTCATTATATTTATAAGACAAAGTGTGATGAGCATTGTACTAAATTATAAATGGATTTCAAATCGGGCACTTGCTGAACAAAATCCTCCTCTGTTACGTAAAATGATTGTTCTGTAGATTAACGACATTAGCAACTGCGAGAAACTTACAACAGTACTACGACAACGTTGGAGAATACAAATTACGACATGTCTTATGCATGTCGTATATTTACGATAAATAAGAAATAGTAAATTGAAAGCATACGCACTTATACTCTGGATAAGAATACGTATTTGCGTCATCGCATATATTAAACTATAGTTGAATTCAGATGTCGAACTACATGTACCTACCTCAAGTGTTTTGACTCCGGATTCATTGACATTTTATCCGGAATTTTTGTGAACGCAAACCGATAGTGTGCGTGTGAACAGGGTGATGTATAATGTGAATGAATCAAGACGTGTAGGGTAGCTGACCAACACAATGAATACAATTTTCAAAACCGTACCATAGTACAAATATTAAGATGCTAAAAGGTTGAACTAATAAAAGATAAAAAAAATAATCAACATTATGATAGTAATTAAATTTTGTTATGATTATTGTAAAATATTAATTAGTAATACGTTTTTTATGAGATGCAAGGATTTAAAATCCTTATGAATTGAAACCACACAAGTATTTTTTCATTCACGACCGTTTAAAATTTAGATATTTAGCTAACTTTGAGTACTCATCCCTGCTCATTGGTGCTGATACGTAACATATAATTTTCATAAATGTAATGACTGATCAAACCTGTGAGACATAATGTACGTATACATTACAATTTTAATTATATTTTATAATTATCAGGAATAAATTCAGTCTCAGTTTTACCTTAAAAATGAATATTCTCTTAGTCTGGTAGTATCTATTAATGAAATTAGATATCTTTTTACAGAAAAATCCTTTTGTTTGATTATCTTTCTGCTTTCCGACCACTGTGTTTCCGACCTTAGATAAATATTTCTAACAGAAATATCTTTTTCTTAATTTTCTTCATTCTTTCCGACATTTTCTCATGCTATGATTGAAATACTAAATATCAAACAAGTTGCTTTAAAAAAAAAAAAACAATACGTGAACCTTAGAACTTTTTTATGCTATTTATTAATTCAACTAAATTAAAAATTATATCTCAGTGCTTTCATGGCCATGTGTGTGGAGGATGATATTTTCTATTTAAATTATTGTAAATCATGCCAATATGAGCGTGGTGTTAATTATAAAGTGAGATGAAAATAAAAAGGGAATGTGTCCATGGGACACACATGATGCCCCTGCTTGCATATCATATAAAGTTTTAAAGGGACATAACTGAAGAACGGTAAAAGTGACACTACCCAAATTTGTAGTTGATCTGACTTTTGTGGTAATAGGTATTGTGTATATATATAGTTTCATAATATATGGTTGAGGCAAACTTAAGTAAGAGAACGGAAAATTTTATGTTTGTAAAGGGGCATAACTCTAGAACAGTAAACGTTACACAACCAAAATTCTAATTTGATCTGTGTTTTGTGGTAATAAGCATTGTGTATAAGTCTCATACCATTTGGTTGAGGCAAACTTAGAGAACGGAAACCAACTCATGCAGTTAAGGGTAAAACGTAATGCCCCCCCCCCCGCTACGTAGGGGGCATAAAAAGAAATGGATTCCCAGACGTATACTTTCTTAGAGAATGATAATGATTCAAAACATGGACACATGTACCGTTTTTCAAAAATTCATAAAATAAATCTAGACAAAATTAATGAGGCATTGCGAACTGGTCAGATAGTAGGAGGCATTAAATGTTCCTTACCGACCAATTATCAATAAGTGTAACTCTCCCACGAGACGCATTGAGAGATTTCTTGATCTAATTATAAAACCATTATTGAAGAGGCTTAACTTTTACATTCGAGATACAAAAGATTTCATTAATAAAATTGAGTCACACGAGGTCAAAAAAGCATATAAACGCATGCGCACAAGAATACCTTGCGAGGTAGTAGTTGGGAGACTTTTGAAAAGGGACCCATGCTTAAACAATTTTAAGCAAAAAATTCCGAAACACTGATAAAATTCTGAATTATAGGCAACAAACATTTATTTAGTTAGCAAAAACGGTTTAAAGTCTTGAGATTTATTACGTGTGTTGGTTGAAGGAACCGCATTTCATAATAATTTTTAATTTTAAAACACAATTTCATAAATTCAGATATATGTATTGAAAGAATGTTGGTCTCAGTATATTATGTATTTTCAATCTTAATTCTTATTTTGATATATAATTGCTTAAACAAATACCCTAACGTAAGATCAAATACACTTTTTTTCTAACTTTCCAATGTTTACAGAATCCATTGTATGCTTATTCAGTGTAAAAATCTAGAGTTAATTGTTTTGTGTATATGTATTTTTTTCTTTTGCATAACATATTTTTTTAAAGACCTCATGAAAGATTAACATCCAATTGTTAAATCTATTTCCTTATTTAAAAAAGTATATAATATATTTTTTATTATTAAGAATATGATTATTTCCTGGGAATATTAACAAACAGTCTTTTGACTTGGATGGAGATTTGTCTCATTGGCACTCATACCACATCTTCTTATATCTATTTATTTTATTTGTTTTATTTTCAGTTTTTGAAACAGACATTTTTGTTTATCTAATTTGTCAAAATGACATGTGCATAAAATTTATTGTTACAAATCAACAAATCCCAAAGCCTACTAGAACTCATTATGTAGAAACCACAACACCATTAATATCTGGCACAAACGTTCGATACCATAGGTCGTTAAATCTTGACCAGTTAACTTTCACTTGTTTATCAAACGTTGCAACTGTCAACTTTGCTCAAGTAAACACTTACGATGCATAAATATAGCTTTAACATACATGTTTGAAAGTGATCTATAGATACATTTAGTTTATTATCATATATCAGATAAGAGAATAAGCGATTTGTGACAATTTCTTTATTGCGACGTTTTAAATATCTCAGATACCCCCGTATGGAGGTGCTCTTAATTGCAGGAGGCTAATACAGATAAGATGAATAAGTGTTCCGAATGAAGAATAATTTAGCTTCCGAATATTCCTCCATAGACTATATTTCTAACTAATTAATATGCGTGAACCCTGAAGGGTTCACGCAAAACGCAATGGTAAACGTTCAGAAATAATCAGTTTATTCTGGGTCATTGTATATCAATAGACTATTCCCAGGTTTATTAAATACAACACACACAACGCGTAGAGGGACCGTCTCAAAGCATGAATTATATAATTGCGATATCATTATACTTCAAATTAAATAAACATTCATATTATTTTGTCAAAAGGCAAATAGGTTCTAACATATAAATGATTTTTAGAATGCAACCTAGTCTTTATTGTTTTACTTTCAAATCTACAAATGAACCGTTTCCCGGATTGTTGAAATATGAACCGTATCAAAGACATAAATAACTACCTGTATAAATGATGGAAAATTTTCGAGACGTTCCGAGAATCGTGATTCCGAGTATATCGAGTGGCCCATAGACACTTCCAAAACTCACCAATATATAAGCGCAAAAAGATCATTTCCCATTATACAACACAATTTCATAATAAATCATTCATATGAATGTCCGTATCCAGAAATGGAATATTACATACACCAAAAAGATCATATAGAAGATTTAACAATATATACCATCATTTGAAAGTAATTACAAAAAAAAAATCGACCCAATTTTGTGTGTGATAAAGACACATTAAAGAATTAGAAATTACCGAAGAGTTTGAATACCCTCAACAATAAATCCAAAGAACTGAATGCATTATCATGTATTGTAGACAAAAAGTAGACAACCACAAACAATGATTACAAAAAAAAACAAACTTAATATTTCGCGTCGAGAAAAGTTGGTGTCTCGGGGGACAATAAACTTCCTATTCTCCTCATAGCTAGTAAACAAGTGTATACTTTCCCTGTTGTTATAAGATTTCTACCTCCCGATACGGTAAAACATCTCCAACTAATCTCTGTAAGAATTAATTAAATGTTTTAAGTATTTTTTATATTATTGCTGTGACAATAAGATTTATCTGAAATAAGTTACTTTCTTAAGTATCAGAAGTATGATAAGAAAATTCTTGATTATCTAAAGCAATCATCTCATCAACTTGGTGAGGCTTTGCCTTGGTTGACAATGTTTTCGGAGTAACAATCTGCTATACCCCCCTCTTAGCTATATATTATTTATATAATCTACGATAGCCTTAGAAAAATACAACTTAACATATATATAACTACTTTTATTTTACATTCCCTATCAAAATGAATGTTATAAACATGTTGTCAATTTGTCTATCTGCTCAAAATGTCCTCGACAAAATTTAAACATTTTCAGACTTAACATTTGGACTATATAAATGACTTTTTAATTTTGTCAAAATCATTTCTTTTGAAAAGGGGTAATAAAGACAGGTTAAATTCATGTTTTCTCCAAAATAACTCCATATAATTACTCTCAACGGATTCATTTACATCAAAACTTTATGAAAATAAGGTCATCGGCTCACTTTTCAATAACCCGAAAGGCGAGTTAGCTGTTGGTCATATTATGGAATATTAAAATGTTGGCTGTAGCTCTAACTTTATGACACATTGCAATTATTATATAGAGTGGTATCATATGCGTCGAGAAATGAAGGGTGCATATCTTTGTAAGTACATGTCTGCTTGAGACTTGAATGGAGTTATATGTTAATTTAAAATTTATTATGAAAATGGACTAATTACATGCAAAAATAATTTTTTACAGTTGGTACAGATTTTATTGTACTAAAGTCAAGCTTCTTATTCTTTCCGTTGTCGCAACATGATTGGCAGGGATCGTTTTGAAGGTGGATTTCTCTTCCTTAACATTTGTTGTCTGGCGTATTCCAAAAAGTAAGGTTTATATGTTAAAAATAACTGCATATCATCTAGATCTTCTGGATTTACCTCAGCAATATCAGTTAACTGAAAGTGAAAAATAAATATTACGATCTTGCATGCATAAATCAAATAGTATATCAATGTTTAGTTAATGTCTCATAAGTCCAGATTTAAAACAAACATATGAGTAAAATCTGAATTGAGTGGCCACCAATCAGATGAGTGATTCCAGGGTAAAAATCTGTTGCTATGCATGTAAATTCTATATCACGATTCCACACTCATGTCCAGTAGCAAGTGTCCATGGACTTAAACTGACAAGTGGACGTGTGGGATCTATTATCTTAAAATGATCAATAACATACGTTTTGTTTTCATTTGTATTTGTTCCAATTTATAGACTTCAGCGACAACTATCTATGACTGGGATAGGATACTGCCAAAATTATTAAACTAATCATAGACATAAAAAAACTGATAGATCTAAATATATAGGTAAAAATGTCCATCGTGCGTTTCTGTTACGTTGATAAGACAGCAGCCCAACTGCTTGTTTCATCAAAACATCGATGTACGATTTTAGAGTTTACTTTTTTCAATTCGGGTCCATCTTAAAATTAACGCAAATAAAGGACCATTTCTTATAGCTGTAAACTTATCAAAAAATGTTCAGGATGAGGAGCAGCAGTTTGAGCTGTTTGCACTATTGTTCTGTCGTTTGTGTCAATGTTTCATGATTATCTATTTGAAATCTTATCTTTTGCAAGAGAAAAAAAAAAGGATATAAGAACGAACTCGAATTATAATGTTTTCTATTTATAAAAAAGAACATAAATCTATATCCCATAACTTCGTAAACATAAGTCATTAACAAAACAGCTAATACCACACAGATATGCAAATAAAGTTTACAATTCAAAAACATTTTATTCTTAAATACATTTATCATATTAACACCCGAGTTCACCCTGGGTTTTTGTTAGGGTTCGTGGTGCTCATTCTATAGTTTTCTGTGTAGTGCTTTTTATTGTTGTTCGTTTTTTCGTCGTTTTTCCAAATTACGACTCTATCTTTCAATATTTGTTGCTATCAATGATTGGAATTGTTCATATATGAAATAAAGTCTTAATACTTGTACGTGTATTTCAATCTTGACTGTCCCTGAATTACGAATCATCGCGAATCTCTTCTTGAAGATGCTTGAAAGATAACAATAACATGAGCGACTTGTAACTTCATTTTTGGAATTCTTGTATTGTTGGTTTAATGTCCCATCAACGTTTATCAACCTATCTATGCTTCAATGTAAAAATAACAAATCACTTTTGTTGGTTTCAGTCTGTCATATTTGCGTTTAATTTATTGTTTTGTCATAAATCAGGTCGTTGGTTTTTTAGTTTGAATTAGTTCGATTTTTTTTTATGTCAGGACCTTTTATAGCTGACTATACGATATGGATTTTGCTCATTCTTAAAGGTTGCACGGTAACTTATAGTTGCTTAAATCCGCTTCATTTGGACTGTTAATGATAGTTGCCTAATTGGAAATAATACCAAACCTCCTATTATATAATATATATAAATGATATACTTATATATTGCATACCTCGTCCTCTCGTCTTGTTGGATGTTCTGGGCTTTCAAAAAACCAACCATTTATACAGGAAATGTGAAGAGAAAGAACTGCCAATGAGATCAGTATCGTTGTATATTTCATTGTCTGAATAAAATATAAACAAAAATCAGTATATTTGTGATCCTTCTACACAATCTACATAGTGTACAAACATAAAAAACTGCAAGATTTCAATGTCTACAATAATTCCAAAACATCAAGAAAAACTTACGCTTTATTACGTGTATCCGCATATACTAGCCTTACCTTTCTAAAAAGGGTATATTTGAGTTGCTAAAATTAAATAACAAAAGTAAAACATTATTTCCTGTCCAAGCTTGTCACTTTCAATTTATTCAAGAAACATCTGCTGTTTAACTTTTGCATACACAGGTCTGTATCGCTGCATCCCTGATGATATCGTAATTCAAGCAGTCATTACCATGATATATATTATATAATTTGATTGCTCCATTTTATGAATCTATATAGTACAAAAATGATTGGTTTTATGTATTTTTTTCCTGTTGGTATTGATACTCCCATACATTTCATTTGTTGTTTTCTAAACTTTTTGTGTAGAGCGAAACTGATAAAAGTTATTAAAGAAACGTGTATCGTGTAAGGAAATCAGTATCATAAGTCTATCCGACAGCCCTTTAATATCCTATATTGTCAAGAAACAAACAAGTGGAATTGGTAATTCAATTTCCTGCACAACTTGAATGTAGAATAAGTTCAAATTCCCTGCAGCGTTGGTCATTTACCTTCTTCGAATCTTGGACCATGAATTAATGGAATAACAAAGCGATATAGGAGCCCATACGACAAAAGCAGTCCATAAATAGCTCTATTTAAACAAACCACATCGACCAGTAATAACAACAACAAAAAATTAGAATATAGAAAAGTGCTCTCGACCAATGAAATTGTAGGATTTGGTGTTTTTTTAATTGTGAAGAATGAATGTAAATCATGTTCTTAGTAAGGGATTATCCTACTGTTAAGGCCTCCTTATATTTCAAAACAAAGAGTTTCTATGAATGAATTACAACAAAATGCCCCGAAGCACATTTATCAGATTAAAAGAATGTATCACACAGTGATTGAAACTGACTAAAAGTTGAATTGTGAAACAAACAAAAAAATCAAAATAAGTTGAAGTTTACTGGTGCAGTAAAATTGGTACCTTTAATGTTATTATGAAAATATTAATAACTTCAAATTACTAAAAAATTAAAATATCAAAGCGATGCGAAAAAAGAGAAAAAAGTTTTAAAATAACAAATAACCTAAATCTTTGCTTTCCAAAAGTCTGATTACTGTACCAGCGTTTGGGAAGAATGGTTATTTCTAATATTCCGATAAAATAAGATAAAACAGGAATTTGATTTAAGTTTTGAATATATTTAAAACTTTTAAAGTCATTTTATTTGAACATTCCCCTGACATAATGAAAAAGTTTTTAATTTAAAAGCCGGACCAAAATATTGGCTGTGAAATAAAATTAGTTATAAATCAAATGTATTTATTGATTTAAACTGTAAAAAAAAAAAAGATAATTTCTCACTAAAATATTACAAGATTTACATTCATACTCACAATCAGCAAACACATACAATTCCTACCTTTTCCTTGTACTTTTGTGTCACCTAATGTCTATAAGGCATTTTTTTTACATTTGCCAAATTATAAGAAAGTCCTGACATCACAAAAACTAATCCATAAATGAAATGCCCCAAAAAGTAGTCGTGCTTTAATTATAAACACTGTACCGACAATGAAACTAATTCTTGAATACAACCAATCCAGAGATCATTTGACCCTTGAATACTTTACAATATTCTAAGTTTGTGAGAGAATGATAATCCCTTACCTCTTGATAAGTACTCGCTTACGCTCGTACTTAATCATGAAGAAAGGGACTATCATTCTCTTACAAATACAGTTAAGGACATTGACCTTGGTGTTAGCATTGGAAACTCAAATTTATCGATACTGTTGTATGCTGACGATATAGTGTTAATTTCACCCAATGAAAATGACATGCAAGCGATGTTGAACAAAGTCAATGACTGGTGTAAACGATGGCGGGTAATTATTAACACTGAGAAATCGATAGTCCATTTCCGCTAATCTCGTATAAAACGATCCGAATATAAGTTTAGAATTGGAGGAAATTCATTACAGACTGTCGACAAGTACAAATATCTGGGTGTAATGTTCCTTGAATTTAAAGACTATAAAGTGAATGCTGAGAGGTTGTCGGAAGCTGGAGGGCGAGCACTCGGTGGAATAATTTCAAAAATTCACAATCTTAAGAACTTTGGAATAAAGACATTTGAAAAACTATTTACATCTTTTGTCGTACCGATTTTAGACGATAACTCCTCAGTCTGGGGTTTTAAAGACTATACATGTGTTAACTTGGTACAAAACAAAGCCATTCGTTATTTCTTGGGTGTTCATAAATTCGCCTCAAAAGTTGCTACAAATGATGATGTTGGATGGCTGCCATGTAAAGAAAGACACTGGTACAATATAATTAGATTATGGAACAAGCTCATCCGAATGGACGATTCACGAGTATGTAAACAGGTTTTCAACTGGGACCTTGAACGGTGTTTGAACAATTAGTCATCAGATGTGAAACTTATTTTGACACACATTGACATGGAAGATTATTTCCACCAAAAACAGATTTGTGATATTTCTCTTATAAAAGACAGACTTTACATGTTGTGTTCCACTGAATGGGAAAACTCTATTACAAACTTTCCAAAATTGCGGACATATAAAACATTCAAATCAGAATATAAAGTGAAACATATGTTGGACTGAACCTCACTCGTGCTGAACGTTCTATACTGGCACAATTTAGATGCGGCATACTTCCTTTGAGGATCGAAACAGGATGGTTCGTTGGAGAAGCAGAAGCTGATCGGCTTTGCAAAATGTGTGACTCACACTGTGTTGAAAATGAACGCCACTTTCTGATGGACTGTAATTTTTACCGAGATTTAGGAATTCAACTTATACTGAATATAGAACACTCTTTTGAAGACATCTCTAAAGATGAACAATTTAAAGTGCTTATCTGTAAATATCCTAGAAAAACTGCTAAATTTTTGAACAATGCATTTAATAAGAGAAAAAAACTTTTTGTATAGGAACAATCAAACCTGAATTCTAATTTTGTCCCGCTGTTAAATGATTATTCTTTTTATATGTATAAATGTTAAAAGTGACTTATAGGTCCAAAGGGCTGGGTGTTGATACATGTAATTACAACCGCTTATTGATATATTGTTTAATATTATACAAAACGTGTCACTATAATAAACAATTTGGTATTGGTATTGGTATACTAACACACCAAATAAATTCGCAGTAAGTGAATGTAAAATCATAAAACGAAATCTGCTAATATGGAATAATCCGGTCATACACAATATCTTATATCGGAGTAGATTACATACATCAAGGTCATGAACAGTATAGGTTTTCAAGCTCTGAATAAAGAAGTTATCTACCCCTTTGGTATCTTTCGCTTCTCTTTATATAAATATTAAAATCCAGGATTCTTCAAAGGCAGCGATATCATAATTTTATGCTTGTTGATAGGTCTTTTAAAAAAGGACATTAGCTACGAATTAGACAAAAGATTAAATTACGATTCCCCCCCTCCCCCAAACATTTATAAAAGCGGAATTTAGAAATAATATTCCGCTATTAAGCAGTCAGTGCGGTTCAATTTCGTCAAAAAGAGCACAAAAAACATCGCTGATGTATAAGTCCATTATTCGACCTAATTTAAATCTGTATTCATGCAATCTTGTTTTCCAATCCTAATATAACTGTTATATTTGTAATGTTTATGTTATTTCTTTCACAATAAAATATTGTTTACACACCAAAAAAGGCAACCTTTAATTTGATCTTTAGTGGAAATGGGTTGCTTTTTATGCATGTGTACAGACTGGGGTCAATATGTTCATTCATTAAAAAGAAAAGAATGTCAACATTGAAAAGTGAAACAAAAGAGATACCAGGAATAACCATTTCGTTGACTGATCCGTCCCACAAAAATTATTCTTATACAGGTAAAACCAGGATTTACATGTATTTTAATCTATAACCTGAAATCAAACAAATCTAGAAAATCGTAATTTTACGATTGCACGTGCTTGTCTATCCATTTATATTTATATTTATGTTTATACCGTTATATGACCGTCGGCAGTCTTTGGAGGTCGTCTCGGTGGATAATGAGATGGCTTCTAGTCTAAAATGCACACGAAATGCTGATACGTACATCATATAGAGTCCATGCATTGTTTATTGTTTCTTTTGGACTTTTTTGTAATTTGGATATACGTTTTAGTCTGTTATAAATCAAATATGAGAATTTTGGTCAAATCGATGAACATGAATTTTACAACTAATGGCCTTTTAGTTAAAGATTTGAAGGAGAAGTTGTGTACATTTTTTATTGAAATAATTTTCGATAAAGCCGATTTGTAACATTATTTTTTATCAAATTCTTGCAAGTGAATCAATACTTCATAATAAATTCCTATATATTACTGATAAAATTAAGACTTTTTTTTATCAAATTGATGATATATGTGTCCTTAGCGCAAAGATATTGTAGCATTACAAATACTACGTTAATTGAGTCGTTGATTTATTTTTGGTTGTTAACGCCACTTTTAGCAAACTTGGCCTTTTCGGCCTTCACTTGCCCGCTTAGTCGTATCACGGATTTGACCTTATCAGCGACGTCACAATGTCTGAGGAAAAGTTATCAGCGATGACACTATATGTGAGGAGACATTATCAAGCTTACTTTCGTCAAGCGAAAAGCCGTCTTAAGACCAGAAAAAGTACGATGAACAGATTCTCGGGTTTTCTGCGAAAAGACAAAGTAAAATATCAGCCGCTCGACACACTGTGAAGCTTTTTTGTTCGTTCGCTGCTTTCACCCATCAATATCAATCAATATCAATATGTGATATCAATGTGCAGAAAACCCGATAATCTATTCATATCATAGCAGCCAGTGTGTATTGGTGGAGGAAGCCAGAGTACCAGGCTCAGTAAAT